ATTATATATTTAACCCTCTGAGAGCGGTATTATCACTATCTTCACTAACTCTTTATAACGATTTTAGCATACGTATGTATCCTTTTTAAATTAAAAAACGTAAATATTTTAAACTGATAAAGAAATTGTGATAACTTACCGATGTTTCAGTAATTTATAAAAAAAGACTAACACAACGGATAATTTTTAAATGTGATAAAATATTATTATTCAAAGTAAACGATGAATTGTTCGATAACAGGTAAATGAACATTTCAGGTAAAAGATATAGAATGGCATATACCAAATGTAAAAAAGATGTTAATTACATAAAAATTTAATATTAAATTGAAATCTGATTCATATTTAAATTAAATAATTAATCTTAATATAATAATCACATAAGTATCCTGTAATGCAGCTTTACAAAAATAGATCCATGATGTTGGATGAACCGAAAGATTTAGATTGGAAAAAAACTTCTCTGTTCTTATAATAATAATAATGATAAAAATAATTTTTTAAATAAAAAGTATGTACATAGAAACGAAATAATACGATAAAATATCCTCTTCGAAATCCAGTCTACGTCCTCTAAGAAAATTCTATTTTCGAAAAAGAAACATTTTGTAAGAGTAGATATACATATTAGACAAATACCACAGGATACACGTAATTCGTACTGTTTTATTAATGCGCCATCGATTTTCAGAGTGTAGAAAGAATCACATTTTTAACCGCGCGAAAATGAAAGAATAAAGCAGAATAGAAATTTTATTAAATTTTGGAGTATATTAAACCCTCTATAGTAAGTATACAGTGGATTTAATACAAGTGTGAGACGAAATTGAAAAGATAATAAAAAACAACACATTGCAAAAAAATGAAGAAAGAGAATAATATAAGTAATGTGCGATAGAGAGAAAGAAAGAGAAAGAAAAAATAATAGATTTGGTCCTATTTCTAGGTTCCTATTCGTAGAATGAAAATGGGCACGCAATACGTAAGTCGTATCATTTTTGATAGGGTCGTATTATTTTCATAATGATGCGCTGATTTTGATAATTTTTAAGATTTTATATGAGAGAACATAGAAATAAAATGTAATTTTGTCCAGGCGAAAATTGATGACCGATGCATGATGATTATTGTCTACTCTTTTATTAGAAAGAGGAAGAATATATTCCTCATATATGTGTCTCGTTGAAAAGCGCGTGGCTTTTATAATAATAATA